TCAGTTTAGGCCGCTCGACAGTTTAGGCCACTCGTCAGCTGAGACCTCTCGTCAGTTTAGGCCGTTCGTCAGTTCAGGCAGCTTCTTAATCAAAGTTTTAGGGAAAAGGTTGGACAGCTTCTGCCTTGTCTGATCTATTTTATGAGAGCTTCAGTTATGAAGTGAGTCTGTCTTAACCTTATACTAAGCAGATTGCTGTGCACATTCCTAAGGATCTCTTCTTCCCTGTGTCCTTTGATAGTAGACTTCAGTTTTAAGCTATTGGGAACGAGTCTTTGCTGTCTACACCTTAAATTGAAGCATTATTCTGAGGTTTTTTCCCAAAATGGAGTGAAATATGCTGGTGAAGATTCTCTGTCATCCAGGTTGGTCATAGTCATTCCAAAAAAGTTAAATAACTTTTTAAAGCTATTTACACTAACATGACCTGGATGACTGAGAATTTTCACCAGCATACTATAGCTGTTAGATAAAGGGACAAGACCACCATTTGTTAAATATAACATAAAAGATACTCGCTTTTATTTGCTCCTAAGAGCAAACAAATAAAAGAGCCTGAGAGTTAGAAGTGTTCTTGCCGCACAGCATGCTCTTATAAACACAACATGTTCAATTGCCTTCTGCAACAAAGCCACATGGTATGGGGAATCCCTGGATCACTTGTTAATTTATACAGCTAATGAAGCTAATAATAAAAATAATTCCCTTCCTGAGCAGCAGAACTTAACTGAAGCATTCAATAAGATCTCAGCAGTTAGATGAAAAAGAGAACAGGAAAAACAGAAGGTCCCTGAAAGAACTTTTACATTTGCCCTGTGAACACCACCACCTCCGGCCCCCCACCCACCCCACCACCATCTTTGGAAGGCTGTAGTCCGGATATGAACAACAAAAATGAGGACTATACCATAATTCCACCATGTGCATTGTGTAACAAAAAGCAATTTAAAGCATTTGTTTGGGTGACAGCTCTTTCTTTCCCTAGATACTTTTCTAACTGCTGACCCCACTAAAGGTGAAGGGATAATGATAATAATAATAATTATTACCGTTGGTATTATAATCAAACATATCCAAAGCTAACTGAATCCCTGTTTTTTGTCAAACAGGATCACGAAGAACACAGTTACAGTTCTCTGAAGTCTAAAAACACCAGCGCTCTTGTGTCAGGACTGAAGCCCGGCACAAAGTACATCTTCCAGGTTCGTGCCAGAACCTCAGCCGGCTGTGGACGGTTCAGCCAGAACATCGAGATCCAGACTGGAAAAGCAGGTGAATTTAACTCGGCTGTCACAAGGTCTTTCTCTCATTAGAGGAAATCTACTTAAGCTTCCTTCTCCGACTGGTCACATGATATGGGACAAACCAGGACCAGCAATACCAACATTTAGCTCTGACCCTAAAAGGAGGAGGACCAAGCAATAATTTACCATGTTATTCATGCTGTTAACCAGGTTCCCAGCAGTTTTAGGAAGTTTATCCCTTATATGTCCTTTTCACAATTATACGCCAAGCCCCTGTTTGGGCTGTTTTAATCCTCTACCACCAAAAAATAATAAATACTATTAAATAGTATTAAAAAATGTCTATTTTGACTATATTTATGGTGTGTATAATCTGTTGGTTCAACTTATGGAAATTTGTGGCCACACATATACACTACCGTTCAAAAGTTTGGGGTCACCCAAACAATTTTGTTTTTTTCCTGAAAAGTCACACTTATTCACCACCATACGTTGTGAAATGAATAGAAAATAGAGTCAAGACATTGACACGGTTAGGAATAATGATTTGTATTTTAAACAAGATTTTTTTACGTCAAACTTTCGTCAAAGAATCCTCCATTTGCAGCAATTCCAGTATTGCAGACCTTTGGCATTCTAGCTGCTCCCACAACAGCTCAATGGGGTTCAGATCTGGTGACTGCGCTGGCCACTCCATTACCGATAGAATACCAGCTGCCTGCTT